ATAATTATATTTTCTATAATATTTAATAAAATATTTAATACATATTAAAAAAATCATTTGTAATTAATTAATTATCTTTCATTTATAAATTAATATATTTTTTTATTCATAAATATATTTTCTATCAATAATTATACAAGCAATATATCTGACTTAAGCATAATTTAGACGATGCTAGATGAATTTATTAATTCATGCAAATTAATTAAAGGGTTCTTTTGTTAAAGTCTTAAAAAATCATATTTGATTAATATAAAACTTAGAACAATTTAGGATAACACAAAATTTTAGTTTTGTATATATTCCGACCAACCAGTATACTTATTTAATTCTTACTCTGACTTGAAAGATATTTTCTTCTAAGGACTAAAGTCATTTTTGGGATTTTAAGGATTGGATAAACTAATCGAATTATAACTTATAAAATTCATAAGAATTTTCTGGAAGCCTCTTATCTCCATCCTAGGATTGGAGTTTCTATTTTCTAAAGCGCCTCGTGAGTGTCTTTAACTTTGGTGTCAATAGTCAGATGGCGAGAACAATATCCAATAGTATTTGAACATCTCATTGTTCAAGTATTTTCAATGATACTTGACATGTTTTCTGCAAGATGCTTTCAATTTTCCAAAGAAAACATTTTCCAACAATGTTGCTATAAGAAATATATGCATGCCTGATTGAAACTAAATTGGCAAATATCTATCACTCTAAAGATATGATAATTGTGTGTAAAAGCAAAGTACCGTTATACAAATACAAGGTGTTAACTTGAACACTAAGTATGCGCTTTGCTATACACTTTAAAACAAAGTGTAATTTTATCCCATACATGTCTACAGAACGAATTGTGGTATGCATACTTGAATATATAGAGTGGAATTTGGTAGCACGGCATACTTGGTTTGCATACATGTAATATCGTCTATATCGTCCTTTAGTAGACATAATTGCGAGATATAATTTTATATTAAGGCCGTGTGCGAATTCGAGTAAATTGCGGTAAATAGTAAATTATGTCGATAAGGCAGTGAATGTTATTATTTACCAGAATTTCGAGTAGGGTAAATAAGATAAAAATTAGGTAAATTAGGTATTACCATAGTAAAAATTTTATAAGAGATATATACTTGAAAATTTCTTGTTTAGCAGTGTTTTTGCGGTATAGTATATGCAGATTATATTATCGAAGGATAATATATCCTTCAATAATATTATTGAAGGCCACTCTAATAAGCCACTCTCTCCGATAGTCTTCAATATTGAATTCAAAATGTTTTCACAAACTTAAAACACTCTACCTTTCAACTATTTATTTCATTTTTTTGACTCTGAATCTCTTTTCAACAGTCTGTATAACATATTAAAAATAAAGCTATACCTCGCTAGAGTTAATTTTTTTATCTTTCATCTCAAAGGGTCACTTTAACTGTATAACATCATGTTTCTACTTGTTTCATATAAGCAGTTTTGCTCATTAAGGCTGCTAATGATGATTATTTACCATACTTTTATTTAAATGAGCTTATTATTAATAAATCAACTAATTTAAGACAAAAAAATTCGAATGTAATACGGCGTTTACATTGGCCGAAAATGGCTCATTTTGAATGAGCCATTTGAAAGTGTTTACATTCGTTCTATTTCATTTGTTCTCATTTCAACAGCTGATTTTTCAACTTGCATGTTAATTTGATTTTTGACCTGTGCCAAAAAAATGTTGCATGAAGGTTAAATATGCCTTCAAACCTTACATTAGAAACTTAAAAAAACACACACTTCGATTAAGTCTTCTTGGGAAGTAAAAGTTCTAAAAAGCAGTGCATCGTTTCAAGAAATGCAACCCAAAACATTGTTTATCTTTTTTGTATTGAAAAACGCTTTTTCCAACTGTCAAATGCCATGAAGGGCCTTTCATTAGGGTATGTCAATGGATTCCTGCATTGGAGTATGTGGAATGCATTCGAACGCATCATACGATGTGAGAAATTGTCATTTTGGCTTGAAATTTTATATGCAAGAATGAGCCATTCGATACTCATTTTCGATTTTTGACCAAAATGAGCCATTTTCGGCCAATGTAAACGCCGTATAACCCTTAAAAAAATAATTTCCAACAAGAAAAATTACTAAAATTTGAAATATTTGTCATATGTTTTATACGCAAAATGTAAATAAACAAATTATTTCACATCTTAATTTCATTAACATAAGTAAATTTAGCTGCAATGGTAACATGATGAACAGTTAGTATAACCTCTTCTAAACCGATTGTAGAGTGCTTGTACATTTCCAAAAGAAAATCGATAATAAAATTATAGTGGATGTGTGTGTAAGTTTAAAGGCCCGCGTAGAATACAACTTTGAAATGTAACTTTTTGCGGTCATCGTTTGCGGTTATATACATATGTAACTCCACACTTTACCCACTAAAAGTTGTAGTTTTTCTTTATTTTATGGAATGAAATTTTATAGATATCACGTAGATTATATAAAAAGAATGCAATAAGTAATATATATACATAAAATCGTATATGATGTATGCACAGCTAAATTAGAGTGACTATCTGTAGATTTGGTTAGACTTAATAGAAATATATGCGGCCCTATGCTCCACTTAGGAGAGAGGGACAGCAATAATAGAAATATATACACGCATATATCTAAATATACCACAATTGTAAATTCATAGGAAGAAGTTAGCCTAACTTCGATATATAACTTGATATTTACACTGGGTAGATTTCTGTAAGTCGTATGTCATATGTCTTAATGAACATATGAAAGTGCTAAAGTCTAACCAATGCAGAATCAGGGTAAAACTCGAGTAACTATGGACACAGATTATGTCCATTGGAATTGGGACTATGAACACGAAGGGAGAGTCCTATATAGTAGAATAGAATGCATACACATAAACTTTTGAGTAGTTATGTCCTTGCTTTTGTAGTTCTCTACGCGTTCTTCATATATCATCGTTTTCAGTACGCGTCACTAGCGTATACGAAACAGTGAAAAGAAATATAATAGGTGAATACCATAAATAAATTTAGTATTAGGCTGGATTCTTATAAGTAACAGAATTTCTCAAGGATTATCTTTGTTCTTTGGGCCCCACTGAAGTGAATATAATTTTCTAATTTGACTTTAATTAAAACCTCACGCACATTCAATCCGCACCTACCTTCAATCCAGTCTTTCTCATAAACAATTCCTTTTCATCTCGCACTACTATCACACCTACCCATATCCTAACTCATGTATACATAATTGTAATTCCTTTCATGTTATTTGCTCGATTGATCTCCACTGGTTACTACAACAACAACTGATTCATTTGGTTTTGTTGACCTATAGTGTGAATGGAACAACTTAAATTTTATTTTAAATCTATGAGTAATTTATTTTAAAATTACAGATATTAAATTTTTTAAATCTAAGTTGAAAAACAATGCTTAATTACTAAAGTTTAAAATGTGTTTATATTTTTAACACTTATTATCTGTTAATATCCATTAATTAGAATAGCAGTTTTTAAATTCTCTTTTAAATTATATTTAAAAAATAATTATTTTATATACATCTATAGTCTAAAATAAGTATTTCATAATAAATAGTTCTCAACTCAATATATAAAATTTTAATGAAGAAAGAAACTAATTGAATTTATGTAAATTTAAAAAATACTTAAAAGTCTGAGTAATCTTAATATCTTATCTAAATCTACGATATATCGAATGTAATATATAAAAATAATATATTAAATTATAATTAATGAAGCAAAATTAAATAACACAATAAAGTCAACATTAAAAAAAAATAGATAAAACAAATATTACATATGTGGGTATATAGTGATGTGATAGTAATTAAATTATAAACAAAAATTTTATTAATATTACTCATATATTAACATACATCTATTATAGCTTCCCCATCTTCTGCAATATTTCTTTCATGGCAGATAAACTTTGGACTTGAAAATCAAACAGTTCGCTAGTGCTAAGGGTGCACGTACGAACCATTTCAGCTGCAGTGTCAAAAAATTTGGATATGCTGTCTCCATCCGATTGTCCAACCAAATTATTTAAAAGCATTATGGCATTTTCAAAATTATTTGATTTCAGTCGGCGTTTCTTTTTAGATGAATTTTGTTGTACCACCTCTGAAAAATCCTCTGATGACGGTAGTGGAGATGATGGCATCGAAAATGTCGCAGGCTGTGGTGAATCGATTGGCACCGTTAATACAGACTTAGCAGCTGGAGTTGACAATGATTTTACTAATGATGATTGTGAAAGCAATTCATCCGAATCCAATTCTGGTTTTACCAGTTGATTTTTTCCGTTCGAACTGTAAAGATTGTTGGAATTAAAATAATTTAAATGAATGATTAGAGATAATTAATAAATAATTTTAAATACCGTCTGTGCTCCATTGTTTCGTATAAAAAAAGTAGTGTGTCATAATAACGATACGGTTTCTTGCATTTAGCGGCCATACCGGTGGAAGTTCTGACTTCATTGCAGTACCGCGCAAATGCATCTCTAAGAGATTTCCAAGCCCGTTGAACTTTCGCTGAAAAAAAATGAAATAAATTTAAGCGCCCATTAGGACTAAGTAATATTGTATTACATTAATTTATTTGATTTGATTTCAAATTTTCATATAATCATTAATAATATAGAAATTGTTTTTCAGTGTTAATACCAATATGAAAATATAAAGTACTTTACTGTATTTACAATACTTTTGAAATAATAAATACCTTTTGGTGTATTTAGATCTGCGCTAATGGCGTCCCATATTTTTTCTTTTTTATATTGATATTTATAACCTGGATGCTTTTTATCAAATAATATTGGATTACTCTTAACTAATTCAATTAATTTTTCAATTTTGCCTTTATTTAAACTTTGCATATTGATAAAACATACGAACAAAATCTCTATTAAAATTTATAAACAACTTTTTCACTTATCACTTCACTCCCAAGATGCAGAATTCACAATACCACAATAAGAGCCAAACAAAACATAAACACAGCAAGTTTGACATTTCCAACCGCAAAAGTCGAGTTGCGTTTCAAAGTTGTATGCCATACAGGGTCAGACTGTTTGAATGTAATATACTATGATATTTATAATAAAACATATGCTATATATATTATGATTTAATACAAATGATTACTTGTTTATTATCTATATATATAAAAGAAAGATGTGTTTTTGTTACACCACTTATAACTCAAGAACGGCTGAACCGATTTAGCTGAAAATTGGCAGGGAGGTAGTTTAAGGCCAGGAGAAGGATATAGGCTGAACCGATTTAGCTGAAAATTGGCAGGGAGGTAGTTTAAGGCCAGGAGAAGGACATAGGATACCTGTTTATCCCGTTCACGACAAAGTAGGTTTTGAAATTATCAAATTTTTGATATAAGAAAATATTTTATTGGAATTTTCGAATAGCAAAGAAAGAAATAAAGTACAAACACAAAAATTTATTTTTAATTTTATTGAAGTTCGGCTGACCATACAACGCTGTTTCGAGTATTGCCAAGTACTCTTCATCAGTGGTCTTTGGAATAATCGAATTTTTATTTAATTAGTTTATAGTCCGTATATAATTTGTTTAGACTGCAAGTGCCAGGCTTAGAACTCGTGCCTGTCAAATTAGAAGCGATGACTAATCGTGTTATCCACAAGAAGTCAAGGCTGCACAAACTTTCAATGCTCAAGTTCCAGGTTTTATTGTCACTTATTTTTATTTAATTAGTGACAACAACCAAAGCACTTGCCGTGCTTTAAATTAGAACGAGCTTATAAACTACAGCTTTATTTTGGAAACACAAGTTCAACGAATTGAAAGTTTAACTTTTTGGGTTTGCTAATTCTTTATTTCTTTTCAAAGCTACTCTTTTTGTAGAGACATTTTGTAATGCATATTGTTTTACTTACTATATGTAAAGCGACCATTCTGGTGCTTTTACAAAGAAGCTATGCTATGTTATTCTAAAAATTCCTCTAAAATTTAATAAAGCTTCTTTGTCCCTATACAAAGTAAGTCTAGCTTAACAGCAATACTAATACTTTATTAAAATATTTTATTAAAATTTAACAGATAGAAATATATCTTAGTTAATGTGTTTTTAAAAGTTGTATTAGATCAATATAAGTTTGTGTTGCAATAAATATCGTTTTTAATCAATAAAACTACCTGGTTGTTGCAAACTCAACAAAATAAATAATTAACAATTATAATGTATGGTATGGTTGAAAATTTGAGTTTTTAGTTTTTTAATAATGCCGCGACCAAGACGATCGAATCTTTCCCGACAAAGCCGTAATGCAAGAAGAATACGAAATACTGCAAATTTAAGGACTGAAGGTCGAGCGAACAACAGAGGTCAACAAATAGATAATTTGCGATGTGTACTAAAATACACAAATAAATTATGAATGATTAATGTAGGTATTTTTTTTTTTTTTGTATTTTTTCCAATTAAAAAAAAACTGCTTATTTATTGCCTTTAAGGCGGAACAGAGTTCGCCGGGTCATCTACTAGTAATATATAAATAAGCATTTTAGTAATATCTTAAAAATTGCTTCTTTATGCTAAATTATTGCATCAAACATGTTTCATTTCTATTAATGGCAAGCACAGCACTTACACATATTTTGACAGCGCGAAGGACCTAGTAGTCCAGTTTCCTATTCTTAGTTAACTGTAAAAATAATTTAAGTGTTAACACACAAATAAATAAATAAATGTACACATTTTGTTGTTGGCCTTTGAAGAAATCAATACAACAAATCAACGCAACCACAAAAGTGGAGCTGTATTTACTGTGGTTGGAAAAGTGAAACTGTCTTTGCTGTGGTTGGAAATGTCAAATTTACTGTGTTTACGTTTTCTTTATTTATTGTTTGGCTGTCATTAATCTATTGTGAATGACGTATTATTGGATTGAAGCGATTCGTGCGGGAAGTAGCATTCTGAAAATTTTTATAGTTATTCAGTTTATTTATTTAAAATGAAACGTTTAAATCCAAAAATATCAGAAAAATTAATTGAGCTAGTTAAAAAAAACCCAATATTATATGAAAAAAAGCTTCCAGGTTATACATTTCAATATAAAAAAGAACAACTGTGGGAAGCTATTAGCGCGGAACTAAAAATTCCGAAAGGTAGATAATGTTTGATTTCTAAAATATAAATATCCTAAACGTTATTTTTATAGATATATTTGAAATATAAATACATATATATTAGTAAAATAGTATGAATTTATTTTCGAATATTATTGTAGTATATTTAAAGAGCAAAGTGAGTTACATTGACTTCATATGTATGCAATAATATAACAGAATTATAATATCATTTAGCTTCAATAAAAGCTGCAAATTCTTTAATTTACTTCAGATAGAGCTAAAATGCATTGGAGATCATTACGAAACGCATTTTTGCATTACAATCACGTAAAGGGAACTACTACTAAGAAAATGGGAAAATGTAAGACACAGTATCGCTTTTATGAGACACTGCTTTTTTTAAATGAAAGGGCAAAGCCTAAAGGGTATCTAAATTTTTTTATTTAATAACTTAACTCTAGTGAATTTTTATAACTTCACTCGTGTTAAATTAAAAATATGCTTATAGTATAATCCCAAAAAATGAACTGGAAGAAGAGAGTTTGGATATTGATGAAACGATTTCATCATCGCTATTAGCGCAGTCGTCGTCAGATGCACCACCAACTTCAGTACTATCACCAATCGCATCAGAATCACCAATGCTAACATCCTTATCATCAATACCATCACCACCGCCTTCAGCAACAGAGTTTGCTACAATGTCTTCACCAAATCTTGCAAATGCGCAATGCCGATTAAAATCAGCAACAGAGTTTACTGCAATGTCTTCATCAAATCTCACAAGTGAGGAATGCCGATTAAAATCAGCAACAGAGTTTACTGCAATGTCTTCATCAAATCTTACAAGTGAGCAATGCCGAGTAAAATCGAGCAATGGTAAAGATCCCATAAATCTTTTAAATGGATTTAGTAAACCAGCAGATGCGGACAGCATATCCGCTTTTTTTTGCTCTCTAGCGACAATGGTTCGCTCTTGCAATCTAAACACCAGAGAAATGCTTGATTTCCAGATACAAAGCTTGTCTGCTACAAAAGAAATTTTGCAAGAGTTGGGAAAGTTGTAGAAGGTATATATGTGTTTTCTATTCATAATTTTAATAAAATTTTTAAATAAAATTTGAATTTAACTTTTAGAATAATTGACCATCTCAACAACTTATTTCTATGGAACATTTGTTAGTCAATTTGTTTAATATTGATTTAATTTTTTTTATACCATTTTTTTTTTATACCATTTTTTTTTTTATACCACAAATAGACACACAGACTATTTTATTAAAATGAAGATTTTTATATAATTTAAAAAATCATATATGATAAATAATTTACATTTATTATAATAAATTATGTGTTAAAAAATTAAAACATATTAGAAATTATGTGTTATGTGATAATAATAATTTGAATTAAATTTAATTTAATTTTCAATTAATAAGAAAAACAAAACTTTTAAAATTATAAAAAAAATTAAAACGTTTTAAGTGAAGATGTAATATATATAATGTAATAGAATTAATTTGCAAGTTAGTATATTGAACATAATTAAGCTTAACAATTAAGAAATTTCTATGCACCATTTAATTGCTATTGTATTACTATTAAATAACGTTCACCATATGTGAGTGATATATATTAACAACAGTGCAACATTGAGATGTGTTGTACTACAGTATAAAAGTAAGAGGTTAGGTTAGGTTGACGATCCCTTAGCGATACCAGATAGAAATGCTTTGCTATTGAGGATGGGTTCTCATTTCTTCTTACTCTATTACTTTATTAGTATTGCAGATTTACTAATTAAAAAATATTTGTCTCCATCAAGGATATAACAATTTTGATGGTCTCCTTTTGTGGCTATCCCTGTCAGATTGCTCATTGGATCATACCAAGTGTTTTTATTGATGTAATTTATAAATTCTGTCACGTAGATAGTGTGTGTTCTGATGTGGTTTTTTTCCAGGTCGGTTGCATTTGCTGCAATTGTTGTTTTTAACCAATTCCATCTTGTGAGTATAACTCTTTAGTATATTCATTATAAAATAATAAAATATATTACATTTTTAAAATGTTTAATACAGTAAAATATTATATAAATAATTAAAATTTTGAATATATTGAAAGAAATTTTTTCATAATAAAAATGTATCATTTTGTAAATAAATAAAAAAAAATTTATTAAAATTAGCTCCTATAATCAACTTTCTATCTGGCATTGGTAGTGGTATTGGTATTGGTTACGCCGTATACTTGGTCCTGTGAGAGAAGAGGTCTTCTATCGGTTGAGATATAACGACGAATGTCAAAAGGAGTTAGGTGAACCAACAATAAACAAAAGAGGTAAAAACAATGGGCTGTTCAAAGAATGAACATAGATATAAACCAACAGAAAAAATATTCCAATCTGCACCAGAAGTAAGAAGAAAAAGGGAATGACCAAGTTTACGCTCGATAGACAACGTTGAACAAACGGCTGACCTGCTTGCGAGAAGAAACTTGAGATCTTTAGCAAGCCACAGAAATACATAGAGGCAATTACAAAGGGAGTTCAAAATTCACCTAGTATCATTGCGCTATTAATAATAACTTTGAAGTATTAACCTATACATCACTATTTATTATACACAAACGATATATCAATTTATAGTTAATTAATTTAATAATAAATTGTAAAATTTCTAATATGATATTTAAAAACTAATTTTTTAATTGATTAATATTTTACATTTAGTTAGGTAAGATATTGTTGTTGTTGTACCCCGAGGAGTTATATATAACAGGAGATATGGAACGAATTACAGAATACGAATACATGGGTAATGATATAAATTAGGTAGCTTGTAAGTGAGTAGAGAACTTTTTTGGAAATAAAATATGAATGTGCCTACATTAATATTAGCCTGCGTAGAGGCAGAGAAAACATGCCAATTCAATCGGTCGGAGGCAAGTACAGGAGCACGTTGGTTCTTTATGATACCACATGTTTGTAGTAGAATCTCCAAACAAAATGATCAAATTTGGTTGAATCATTTTGTTGATGTTAAAAATTGTAGTATAATACTTAACCCATATCATATGAGAGTATATATTCACATCTTACATTGCTATAACGTATAGATAAGCCTATTTCACGATGAACTATAATAAATATACAAAAACCATAATTTAATTTTTAAAGTTTAGTTTATTTTCCATCGAATGTTTTCACATAATTTTCTTTTTTAGTTCATTGTTAAATAAAGTAGTGCATCATAGGATTTTTCTTTCAACTTAACACATTCTTCAACGTTTTTGTTTTTTTTTTGTTTTTAGGTTTTTAAATTACGAGTATATTTATTTAATTATAATAAAGTCAATTCGATTTTTAAATTAATAACAATTTCATTTATTCATTTTTAATTCATATATAATATTAAATGCAATTTTAACAACAATTTTTAAAATAAAAATTTCTGTTCTAAAGCACTCCTTTTATAAATAGTAAAAAAATGCATAAAAATAAAAGCTTATATAAAAGAGTTTATATATATCATATATTTTATATTCGAAATAAATTTAAGTATATAAATTTAGGCATAGTCAATATAAATATTTACTTTTTAATTAATTTTTTAGTTGTGTATATTATGAGTCCAAATTTTTAATATATAATAAATGGAATAAGTTTAAAGTTATATACTAAAAAAAACTTATGCATTGCAAAAATTACTTGAATTGTTATTTTTAAATAAATATACATTTACCACATGTCCTGTGTTTCCATAGAAGATAAGAGGATTTCAGATATACTATGACATGTCACTCTATAGTACATGTGGAGTGTACTATGGGTTGGTGTGAATTATTGGGTTTTTTATAATAAAAATTCAAACTAGTTTAAATAAGCTAATTGGAATATAAACGAAGAGACAAGAAAATTGGGTTTAAATATAAAAGGTGTAGCAATTACATTTATTATTATTATATAACTATACTGTATTGTATATATTATATCTTTCAATGAAAATTGCTTAAATAGGCTGGGCCTCTTGCAAATATATATTATTTACGGATTTTGTTTGCGAAAAAAATTTGCACACGCAAAAGTATTGAAAAAATGAGAATGTATGCAAAAATAGATACTGGTTAAGTGTATCTATTTGTATACATACATATATCAATAACTGGAACTAAGTCTTGTTCTTCTGAAAATGCATACACAAATTTTATATTTCGAAAGGTTTGGTCAGGGATTCGGTATTTTTGTGCTTAGAGAACAACAACAAGAAATCCAACCAATATATTGTATCTTACCTTAAGCTAATGATCTTAACATATGCTAAGATAATAATTGTAAACTTGAAAGTACTTAAAGCTTAAGTTCCATATTTATTTTTAGGCAACTTTCATATTGTTATCAAGGCTATGAAATCCAGTATTGTGAACAGATTCTGAACTGTATCGGGTTTAAGCCGAAATCTTCGACTCTTTAGCTTTGTGTTTCTAAATCAAACTAAAAAATAAACTAGATAATTATCTAGTATCTATTTAGATAATTATAATTATCTAAACTCGTGTTCGTTTTTTAAGTGAACGAATGGTTCTGAGTTTTATATCATCGAACCGAAGCACTATCGAAATTTATGCAGTTCACCACTCTGGATAAAAAACTCTCGAGTAGTAAGTATATCAGAAAATTTTCAAATTGTTTTCTTTTAAAGAAATTTAGTTTTATTATTCATTTTTTTAAATGCTGAAGATAATTAAGAATGAGTTGTAATAGTTTGTACATATATAACATTGACTATGTTATATATAGCACTTAATTGCTCTGCGCTTTTTAATAACATATATGTCTTTCTGTCAAAACTGTAGCGGTTATAAGGCAGAATCAAATATAACACTCTGGTCTGCTTAAGTCTGATAACGGATCAAATATTGAATTAAGCACGTCTGTTATATATATTCTCAGGACAATATGCTCAATACCAACAATTCTGTTTTATAACTACACCTTTAATATGCAATCTATTAAAGAAAAGAATAGTAAAAGCGTGCATTCATTTTTTTTATAAATAATTCTTTAGAAGAAGAGGTACCTCATAAATTTAATAATTTGTTTAGAATATAGCATGCTATATATTTTTTTGTATATCAGCAATTTTCTTTACTTATATCAAGGCAAATGCTATCTGAAATAATATATCCCATGCTAGAAATGTACCTCTTCGATATAAGGATACAAAAAAAAAAAAATGATTGATTTGTATAAATGTAGTTTGAAGTATTAGATCTGTTTCATTTTTGAATTAAATATATTTTTTTAAATTAATTTTTGTAATGCTAATGCCATTAATGTGTTCGTTTTTTTTTATAATTATTTTTAATATTAAATATTTATTAAGTCGAAATTGAAAAAATTTAACATGAATTCTTACTATTGTTAATGATTATATTTTTTCCAAACATTTAATTAAACAATATTTAATAATTTTTACTTTATTTTATGTACTTTAGCTAATTAAGTATATTTATTATATATACCTTGTGTTTTCGCATTGCATATATATGTATTTCAATATATATATTTTAATTTAAAATATAGATTTTAACGTGAATGTCTGCTGCTCTATTTTTTTATATGTATTTTAAATTTATAATAATTATATTTATTTTATATATAATTTGTAACTAGCTAATTCGAGATTTGGTTTCATATATATTAATATATATATATAAAATTATGTATAATTCAAATACTTCAATTAAGTTTGAATAGATTAAGATTAATGCAGATGCATTTAGATGTTTTTGTTTTTTTTTTTGATTTCAGATATACGTAGTTTTAAGTCTAAATATTGCATTTTTACTATTCGATTTTATTATAATTTTTTGTGTTGACCTTTTTCATTTGCTTTGTGTATATGTGACCAAATGATGGCAGTTTGGTTGCTATTTTTTTTTAACTAAATTTTTTTATATATTTTATATTGCAATTTTAGTTCTTAGTAAAGCTGAAAATTACTTCAAATAGAATATTAAATTTAAAACAGATTCTACATTAATTATTATCAAGTACAAAATAAAAAAATAACAACATATTTTTATTATTAATAATTATATATATAATTAATAAGAAAAAATATCAAAAATTTCAACTAAATATTTTTCTATATAAATATTTTTCACATATATATAACAATAATAACAAAAAAAAATTATTCTAAAGTATTTTTGAAATTATTTAAAATTTTTTTTTTTTTAATAATGAGCAATTAAAAATTCTTATTTTAAAAAATAAAGAATATAAGTAATATACAGAATTACGTTATTCTAAATTTACCTATTAAAGTAGCCACTACTGATAATAATATATATGACTATATGTTCAAAAAATTTTAAATTTATTCTCTTAAACAATAATATGATGTCATCAAAAAAATTCCAAAAAAAAAAAATTTAGAAATGTGTGCATTTATAAATATTCAATTTATTAGTTACATATATCTTAAATATATTGCCAAATTTTTCAAAATGATATTTAAATTCTATTAATATAAAAATGCACTACGTTCTATCAATAGGGAAAATGAGGTCAGTCCTAAAGCATTACGGCACATTAAATCCAAAAAAGAAAATGAAATAATGTGGTTTCTCCATTTTACATATCCCTTAATACCCAAAACAGAGTCATTTAAAAGATTTTACTGCTTACCCAAATAATCGTAATAGTAGTTTATCATATTCTAAAATTTTATAGAGTATACAATTGAGATATGTAAACTAACTACTTTTCCACTATATATTGACAATTATCAAAACTTACAATTATCAAAATAGATAGATTAATTTTCATTTTACAAAAATGGTGTTGGCAACTATATGTCGATTTTTTTTAGAAGATATTACTATTACAGTATATACTGGATTAGAGTCCATGAAGAAAAGGATATACATCACTTTTTTTAATCTAGCGGATATGTTTTACTCATCGAATGTGAATGTAATTGGAACGGTCAACTTTGTGGTAACAGTTTTTTTACAGCTTTTGCATTATATCCTAAGTCTATCCACGAATCATTCTTAAGAATATTTAGATAATTTCTTCTAAATTGATATTTTTTTACTATTGATTTTGTAATTCCAATCATTTTTAAAATACTAGTCACAAAGAGAATGGTTTCGCAAGGAAACTTTATTAGAATTCAATATTGGATTATATGCTTTTAAAATTACTTTTACTAAATTATAAAATCCAAAGATTTCTTAATGAATACTCGATATGGAAATTTCAATAAACTATCTATTGGTTTACAAAACCATCTTTACTAGAGAATAAATTCTAGGCATTTCTAAAAGAAAGTTGATATGGAAACTAATTATCCATAATTATCCAGAGAAGATATTTACTAGATTATATTGTATGATGAAAAAAAGAGAAATCACTCTTTTAAAACAAGAGGATGTCTTCTGATCAAATATATGAATATTTTTATAAACCATTCAAATGTAATCCTAATTCTATTCAAATAAATTATATAAAAAAATTCTGATGACCTCTAACAGAATATTGGAGATGCAAATTTTAATGATTAATGATTTTATGATAAAACTTGATTAGTATAGTGACTTACACAAAATATACGTATATATCTCTGAAAAAATGTTGAAATTTAAACTATACTAACTGTACATATACGTGTACATACACATAGCTAATTTTAAATATATATGTATATGTACATGACGTTTTTATTGAAATATATTATAACTTAGTAGTGGCTGATATCATTAACGTAATTAATCGATTGGCTAACGTAAATTTCAAATATTATAATTTTTCCGAAAGATTAAATCAATACTAATTTTATATAGATAATTAGAAATATAAATCTTAAAATATTAATAAAAACTAATTAAGTCTCAACATTACTAAATTTACTTTTTATTATCTGGAAATTTTTTATTTCTGGGACTATGTGATACATCACGTCGTGGAAACTCATCCATCTAAAATGAAAGCAATGCGTTATTTATTATTTAAGTTTCAAATCTTATAGCACTTTACAAACCTTTGATGAACTGCTTTTTGAGCGACTAGAGCCACTATGAGCCATCGGGACCTCCATTTCATCATCTGTATAGTAGCTATATTCACGTGATGAATCACTATGCCATATATAAATAAAATTATATTGCAGTTTAAAAAAAATACATTTATAATTTAATAAACCAGTACCTGGGTTCAATTCCATCTAGTGTTTCAGGTTCAAGTAAGGGCAATAAATCTTCACCCTGTGGTAATAAGTCTACATCTTTAAGTCCCTTGCTTGTGCTGCTACTAGTCGCTGAAGCACTTGCAGCTCCTGCTGTTTCACGCTCAACCTCATGACATTCACACTGACAATCCTCTGGTTTCACATAGTCGTAGTGTAATTTCCCATCTGCTATATCAGAGTGTGAGTGATGTACATGGTGTGATTCACCAGCAGTTTTTGTAGCAGCAGATGGACTTTGTTTTCGGATATTCGTACTACCTGACAAACTATCTCTTGGTAGCGTTGTGATGCGTTTGGCTGGTTTCCGTTTTTCTGGTATATTTTCAAAATCTATCCAGTGTCCAGATAGTTTTCTTTGTGTTGATGTGGAACCAGATGTAGTGGTTATTTGCATAGTTTGTACAGTTGTAGTTATTGCCTTACTTGTTGGTTTTTTGGTTTTGGTTTCATCTTTTGGCTGTTGTTGCTGTTTTTGTAGCAATTGCTTGTTCGAGTCTTTGCGTTCTAAATTACCACCAGTGGCACGCAAACCCTCTTCAGCGAATTCAAACCATGATTTGCCACTAGTATTCGATGTACGGCGTGGAGATTTTGAACTTTGTGCTATACTTTTTGTAGAATCTTTTCGCGGTAAACTTATACGTAGCTTTTCGCCTCGAACTGGTGCTGAACCACTGATTTCGTGGGGTTGCTCTTGTGGGGTGCCTATAACTATACCGCAATATTCTTCCAAATGTGAAGGATTTAAAGGTGTTGTTGAACGTGGTCTGTCAACTGGACAAGTTTTCAATTCCATGTTCGCACGTTCTTTCATTGGTATTATAGATACACCTTGTGCTCGTTCCTCAGGTAATGTTGTTGGTATATATGGAAGCTCATCATCAAAAGATTCCTGTGAAACGAGTCCAGTACTTTCATGATCTTCAATAACACCAACATGTCTTGGTAGATGACGTCTTTTTGCATCAGTTGCTGCAGATGAATTGCCGCCACCAGCTATATCAGAATCACGTTCACTCTCGGATGATTCAATTTCAGCTGAATGAACTGATTGTCTGTCACCCTGTATCTGTTTTTTCACATGATGTATTGCGCTAATCGTAGCTGGTGGAGAAGGCGATTGTGGTGTGGTTTGAACTGAACGGCGTGTGGGAGTTGTAGATCGTGGAGGTTTCACTGGTGTTGATTTTGAGCGTTCTGTTACGGGAGATTGTGAATGTGAACGTGTTGGTGAGTGTTTAGTTGGAGTCGCAGAAGGACTTCTACTGACTGATGGTGGAGAAGGTGATGGAGCAGTCGAAGGAGGTGGTGGTTGAGGAAGCATTGGTTTACGTTCTTGTCGAGTTGGAACAATGTTTTCTTTATTTACGGTTTCTGTTTCAGTTTTACTTGTTTCAGAAATGCTTTGTCTTTTTGGTTTTCGGGGCACATTCTCGTGGTATTTTTTACGAACATCAAAATTTTCCAAATATCTGGAATGTCTTTGATTGCTTTTGCTACCTCCAATACCTCCACTATCTGCATCTTCTTCCGAAGTAGAACGTGATTTACGACGCATTTCATCACTGGAATCCTTTCGTCGCAACACAACTGCCGATACTGTTGTATGGACAACTGGTTTCTCATCTTCCGATGTAGAAATTGATTTCTGTCGTATAGTATTTTCAATTGAAGTACGACGTTTTATTGACTCTTTAGTTTTTGTGGTAACTGTGGTTCTAACCACCTCAACTTCTTCTTCACAGCGACGTATTACCGTTCCTTGCCGTTGAAAATTATCGATTGCCGGACTTTGTAATTGTGACTCCTGCACTTGTTCTGAAAGCTGGCTCGACTGACTTTCAGTTTTTGAAATGCTAAATTGCGTTGAAAAAATTTGCTCTTGACTGCCTGAACCTAAACGGGTTGCAAAAAGTAAGCGCCTTTTTTCCTTCGCTATAGTGTCTTCCAGCACCGCTTGTCCAGGCATATCAGTTAAATAAGTATTGACAGTTGCTACAGTTTCCACAGTTTGTGTTTGACCCACACTACCAGTACTTTCTAGCGATGGCAAACGGTGTATTTCGGCAGCTGCTGCTACGCCGTTTTCTTGAACTACATTCTCTGCAACATTTGCTAGATTTGAACGTGCAGTAATTTGTATAGCGCTAGCATAACTACCAACTGAACCAACAGTTTCCTGAGAATCCTGTGAACTATGACGATTAACCTCCAAACTCCAAGTTCGTTCTTTAGTTTCATCATCGTGTGGTAAAGTGTGTATTGCATCAAGATTTTCAATACGTTGTAGTTTTTCGATTTGTTGTAGCCGTGGAGCAGCAAAACCGCCTATCCCTGAACCTGATTGCTTACGTGCTGCTACTGGTTTAAGTGCTGCAGCAGCTGCGGCAAGTTGACTAGCTGTTACAGGAGCTGATTGTGGTCGAATGGGTTCGACGTTTAACTGTTGTATACCCTGTAGTAGTTTTTTGGTTTCCTTTTCCTCAGGTGGCGTGTGTAAGGGTATATGAATGTAACCTTCTACTGGTTCATCATAATAACGGAGACGACTAGCAGGTCGTGAACCGGTACCAGGAGGCAATGGCGTTTTACTACGACTTTGTGGCTGACAAACAAGTTCGTGTGCATCGATAGGTGAGGAACTTTTTGATGATTTTGTATCAGTACCAGCGCTGCTACCACGTTTACTGCCTGGTTTGAAAATCGCTAAAACGGATTTTTGTTTACTGGGTGTTACATTTTGCGATTGCGGAGTTTGTCGTTCTTTACTTTTACTACGTGAACGTGATCTTTCCCTAGGTGAGTCAGGAGAGTCTTTTCCGCCTAATCTAAAAAGTGAACTAAATGAACTTTTTCGTGAAACTGAAACTGTTGCAGGAGATGGAGAGCGACTACCGTGTGGTTCTTTCGTTAGTGCCGTTTGACGGGTAGGTTTAGGACTTGCGGTAGGTGTTAAACGATTTTCGTCCATGATGTTACGAGTTAAACTCAGTGAAGCAGGTTTTTTTTGACCTTTTGAATAAACTAATGGTATTGTATTCGGTGCTTCCACAACGCGTTCATTTGGCGCAATACCTTATAAAAATAAAAAAAATATTTAAAATATATGTGATGCAGATTACACAAAAAAAGGAATATGCTCACCTTTATCGTCATACATATGATCAGGTTTTAAGTTAATACGTATATACTCGGTGCCACTGGGAGTTTTACCCACAACCATTTGTCCGGGACTTTTTGTGCTACGGCGTTGAGCGCCCATTGTTAATGACTTAGCGCTGGTGGTTGGGCGATTTTGTATTGCAATTTTTGCTGCCAATTTTGTATCACCATTGGATAGTGAGACAGGTTTCTTTTTTGGTGAAGATTCGACTTTTATGCCCTCAGCCAAAACAGCTTGTGTAGGATCGTGTATACGTGAAAGAAGCGCTTGCTCTAAGAGTTCTGTTGTTTTTGGCTCAACTGTAGTTAACACAACACCGTCAATTACATTTTCCAAAGGTTTAGGTCCACAAAATGAAGTTTCCATCAGCATACGATGAGGGGATGGGGAACGTGAAACACCGGATATAGCAGACAAACGGCTAACAGCTGATCCTTGACTTCCCACGCTAGAAATACGACTTGTACGACCCGATATGCAAAGCAGAGCAGCAACTTCAGAACTGGCTGAATCCTTACGCTGATGTTGTTGTAAATATGATTGATGCTCGTCAAATTTAAAGATGTGCGGAGATGAACGTTTTGCTTGCTATAAAACAAATTATAAAAAATTATTTAAATCGGTTGTTTGCTTTTACAATTAGTTTTACTAATTTAAATGAACTTAATCTTAATATTAGGTAAATGAAATTTCAATTGATACTTAAGCAACAGTTTTTATATAATATATCTTTTTATGGCTAAATTTATTGTTGATTTAAATTAAGTTAATATTCCCAAATATTAAATTATTATATTTATTGTATTTTGAAGAAACAAAGTAAAACTCTGATAGCCAAAGAAAGTGATTCTCATTATTGAATAACCTTCATTTTGTTACTTAATTACAAGTATTACATTTTCATTTTGCTATCATAGAACGGAACAGTCATATTATAGTTTTATCTCATGACGAAGCATCTTTTATTATTAAATTTCCATTGTTACAGTTGCCAACCAGTTAGTATCTCACAACTGACAGAGATACAGTTACGTAAAATTTAATACAATAACCTACATTTATATAAATATGAACATAGTAGATTATAGACATAAAGGATATTATTGGACTCAATGAATGGTAATGGCACAAAATAAATGCTTTCATATCATCATTTGATAACATTTATTGTATAAATAAGATTAAAGAAATTGACTTATAGTACGACAAGGTGATGAACTTCTCAGAAAATTTGATTAAGTATCAAAAATACTGTTGTAGTATACTAAAATTTCCTAAACTGTTAAGTAGCATAAGAACTACCTCCCATAGATTTAGATAACAAAAACAAATACTTTCTTAAATAAATTGTGAATTTTATATGAAATCTGTGTACAAAGTTCCTTTAAAAATTTAATAAATTCAATAACTAACTATTTACGAATATTATTAAATTTTTTTTTTTTATTTGAAATATAAAACTTAGCTCACACTTATATTATGTAGAATACTGGTTCCCAACCTTTTTTCTGACCAAGGACCAATATCGTATTTTTGTTTTAAGTAGGGACCACAAAGTTTAAGAATAATTAAATGTATAATTATTTTAATATGCTTTAATATTTATTTTATTAAAGCTAGAAAATATCCGATATATAAATACTTAATTAATTAACTATAACTATAATTAACTATAAATAATTACTTGGACATTTTTTGTGCCTATTTTCTAATAAATGAAGTCTCAGTGGATTAAAGTATGTATCCATACTTTTTAAACTTGATTCACGAACTATTTAAAACCATATCGAGTACCACCTGTGTTTCACAGACCACCGATTGGAAACCACTGATGTGGAGAAATACACCATTATATAGTGAACAGAAGTGGTCTTATATACTTTTTGAAAAACAAGAGGTAATTTATTGTTACAACGTGAATACAGAAAACTCTATGGAGTTCTCAACTTCTCCCATTATTCGTGCTATGGTGATCAAATTTAACGGAAATGAAAACGCTAAAGAGATAAAACCAACGAAAGATCTTATTCTTTATTATCGGCAGAAAACATTAGCTCGTTAGGCAAAGTATTAATAATAAACCATTAATATTCGAAATAACTGCATTTATCACATTGACGATGCGTCAGATATTGAAAATATCTTTTAACAATATTGATGAAATTGAGATTGAATCAATAAATGTAAGATATTCGTGCTGACAAAAATTACAGAATATTTCAATGCGTGAATCATACATTATAAACAACTAAAATGTATTTATATATAGTTGTATAGTTGTGGATATGGATATAGTTAAAGAGCAGTAAGGTTGCCAGCAGTAAAACCTAACGATCATCATACTCAACACATGATGTGTTAAAAACACCTAACAATATTTTTATATATCTAAACTTACGAAACTCATTGGAGACATGGATGTAATCAAAGACCATAAAAGTGTACTTTAAAAAAAACTTATATCACATCATATTTTCATAAACGTCTAAAAAATGTCAAATATTTACAAATAAATTCGACTAAATAGTGCTCTATATCGCTTAAAAATTATTGTTAACTGCAGAATGGATAAGTACATTACTGCAGTATTGCAAAGTCAATATTAATTAAAAATGTCATTAATAGGTACATAAAAAACCTTATTAAAAGCTTAAAAAGGTCCTATAATAGCCGGAAAAAATCAACGTAAAAACCTCAGTTGCAATCTATTAATTTTTAAGATAAAATTTAGTTTTAGTAGTTAATGTCATAGCGGAAGTGAAAGGTTAAATTATAATGGTATAGTGCACCGACAATACGTTTGAGATCTCTAAAAGTGATTTCTAACAATTTTAAATAGTTTTTGAGTAAATATTAAGAAATGAATAATACATATATCAAAAATGTTAAAAGCATTTTGACAAGTAATGTCTTTACTAAAAAGATATTACTTGAAGCTATGTTGACATTAGAAAAAGTATCTCCAAGCTGACTTAAAGACACAGTCAAATAAATATGATAAAGGTCTCGGGATATCTCAGAAATTACATATTGTAAAATAAACAGTGTATGTTTACAAGACCTTACTTTTTACATATGTCATTCAAATGTTATGGCAGATACCAATAAATTCTCCATCAATTTTGAAAATTTAGATGAAAACAATACGAGCAATTACATCGTACAATAATTATTTATAGTGAAACAATATATAAAATTATGTTTTGGATGTGTTGTTTTATAGGAAATATTTTTAATGTGTCTTAAAAGTTTACAATAATAATACAATAATAAAATTAATAATAAAAATAAACTGTAAACAAATAAAATACAAATATAATATTTATGTTTCAATTTTTTATTTAACAGAAATTGAAAACTAAATTAATTAAAAATATTTCAATTAGTTTTATTACAAAATTAAATTCAATTCAATCATTGGTAGAACCATTTTAATAAATAAAGTTTGTTTTACTTTTAATTAAAAATATTTTCAATTGATTGATTTCTTACATTATTTGTACTTAAAATAAAATTCTATGAAATATAAAATAAAATTGATAAAAACTGTGCAAAAATAGATGTGATATTCAGATATGAAAATATTTTTAATGTAAGTTTTCAGTTTCAATTAAAGTGGGAATATGAGTTTAAGTTGAATCATGCAAACTTGCCACTCACTAATGTTTTATTTAAACTTTAGTTTACTAATAATTGAATTTGAGCAAAGTTGTCAACACTGAAAAGCCTCCTTTCTACCTCGCACATTGCACACAGCACACGTGAATTTAGAACAAACTTGTGTTGCTGAAGGTTATTTTGTGCAGCCAGCACTCATAGCTGCTCGGTCTTGTGCAATGCAGCAACACACAAATGCACAAACGCATAACACTCGAGCTTTCACTTGTGCAATAAAACAATTGTTGCGCGCCATTTTTGCAGCTTGTATGTATGTAAGGTTTTTTTTACGTACAAACATAAATGCACACACAAACACAACAACAAAGTATCATGTTTTTTATTCATATAACGAAGAAAAAAATTGCAATTTCAGTGCAAAATGTCGGAGTAGCCAATTTTTTTTGTGCTTATTTACTGGTTCGAAAAGTAAATAATGTTTGCTAATATAATTTAATACTATTTTGGGATTTGTGTGTTGAAAATAAAATAAAAACAAAAAAAAAATTAAGTTCGTTATACGTTGTTTGCTGTTTTGCTTCAATTGTTACTGTAGTAATTCTATTAAAAGTATTGTAAATATTATACATTTTATCTAAATAATAATATTATGTTATTTGATATATTTGTACATATGAATAGATATGTCAGCATTACAACGAACTTAACTGACATAACGACTGACACATTTAAAATGTTGCTGATGTGTGCCATTTTTTAATACAGTTTTTTTTTTGTTTTTTCCTTAGTTACATATCCGTGCACTTAACAATTTTGCTTTTATTTACAACTGCTTACTCACTAACTTTATTTTATTTTTTCTTTTCTTTTCTTTTATTTTTTATTTTTATTTTTTTTTCTGTGTGTATACATATTTATAAAAACATGTTGATATCTATAACGTACTTGTCCGTATATATTTGAATACTATGCGCCATTTTTTAATACATCCGTGCCACACTCTTTGCTCAATACATGCACATAAAAATGTAGTCAAGCTGTCCCCTTTTCATAATATTTGACGTTATAAACGAAGACTGTTGGTAAGCCACACTCATATCCTGAGTAAGGATTCGTGTATTATACTTTTTGTACTTGGACAAAAATGACAAAAGCATAAAAATAAAATCAGAACATGAAATGAAAATAAAAAATAATAAGAGTATCTTTTATTGCTAGAATTGAATAAAAAATGAAAAAATAATAATAACTTATATTTTAGTTTTGTGGAATTTGAACTATTGAACTATTTATGTGCCATGATTTAAATTGAAAACTTTTAAAAATAATATTAAAAGTAAATATTTTCAAGAACCTCGCCAACCTAAAAATTCATTTTATTAAGCGAAGTTTACCTATACTTCTAAGTTTTGTACTGCATTATGATAATATAAATATTAGTCAGAATCGAATCTTTCTCGCGTTGTCGAATCTCAGAATAGATACAGGCTCCTTTGGAAGGTATGCAGATCTAAGGTCAATTATTGCTTATTCAGATAAAGTGATAAACAATAATTCAGTCAAGGCGTAGAGAGGAGTTATGAAGAAACCTTATGAAGAGAACAATAGAAAGTAAAAGTGTTCAAGTACACTAACTTAACTTGCCTTAACATAATAATAAGAAAAAACAACTTCTATTAATGTTGGATTAATACTCATGATTTAAAAAAAATCCCATATTAGTATTGCTTATCTTCTTGTGTCAAATTTTATTCAGTTAACATCACAAGCTATTTTCTTTTTCAAAGACTTTATCTACGTTTTAAGACCATTTTTACGACATGTCAATATTATTGTTTTGCGACGTATTAAAGTATTTGCTTAATACAGAATATAAATCTCGGCATTTAGGTTAACTTGGATTATCATTCAAGTACTTAGAGATAAATTATTATCAGAAATGATAGAATCAAAAATGTTTATGTGCATCAATATAGGCACGTAATCAGAAGAGGGGCTTAAAGAAGAGGGATATTTTCTGCACAAAATAAACCGAAACATTACTCTACTAGTTATAACAGTTTTAATTAAACACATCTATTTATATTAAAATTTTGGAAACATTTTAAGAACTATTAGTAAAGTGACTGGATAAACTTGTTAAACTGAACTGTTTTGTAAAGTATAATTATATTATTTAAAAATTATATGTCTACCAAGAAATTTTGGTATAAAGTATAATTTACAACCGCATATAATCCAATGGGCCTATTTACACCATCATAAACGTGAGATGAACTTGACGAAAACATCAACTGACAGTTCAGTGTACACTATCATGAATTGTCATGAAGAGAGAAATTAGTTTTGTAAACATATATTTAATGATGTGTTCAGCACTACCCCATTTATTGCGTTTTTCATGATTCAGCAATACAATCAAAAAAGTTCAAGTTCTACCACTCTAACATATTTCATCTCCCGAGGGAATTTATTTAACTCTTATTGATGAGTAACAGCAAAAAAACGGACTAATCTCAATTTAAAATTTGTACTTGAAATGTTATAGATTCAAATGGAACAATACCGCCTTTTGAGTGAAAAGACTTTCACGACTATTTTATTTAAAAGCACAAGCCTAGTACGAACATCTTTTCAATTCTCTGATATATGCCAAGACCAAAATGAGTAACTCACACTTTACGTCGGTACCTCACCCCGCAATATGATTCTTCTACTGACACTCATCCCATTAGAACCTATGTTTCACATTTGATTTTAGCTATTGGATGCAGTTCTCACAAAATCTACAACAGCGGTTTTTATGATTTTAATCATAAAGTCTATAACTAATAAGCTCTCTATAGATTTACAGTTTTAGTATGAATAATATTAGACTTTTACTGTTTCAGAAATGGAGGGGAAGGGGGTGGAGGACTTATTATTCATAACTTCACGTTCGAATGGCTGGAATCTTCATTGTTTATTTCACATAATTAGCTAAAATGGTTAAATGTTGATAGGCCATTGTGCACCTTCGATGTTCATAAGCCATTCTGCACTTGCGATTTGACTCCGTTGCACTATTTTTTGTGGTAAGTTATTAAGGGTAGATGTTAGACTAATCAATCATTCTGATATGTTTTAACATTTAAAACATGGAATAAAAGTTACCATTGATGAGATAGTAGTCTAAAGAATCAAAAATGTACCAATAAATTGGGTTAAAAAATGGAATACAGCCATGGAAATCATTAGGATGTACTTGTTTTTTTGTGTTTGATGGCCACGTGTGCTCTTTCAAATAAAACAATATATTTTAAAAAATTGTATATAATAAAATTCATATATAAAAAAATATATATAATTAAATATATTAAAATTAACTAAAAATTGAGATTAAATTCCAACTTTTAGATGACACACCTTGTAGTAAAAACATAAAGAATAATGTTCATATTACTTTTCCTTTAATACATATGATGTATTTTAAATTAATATCTTCTGTACAATATATCTTATACAAAACTCTTTAGTAAACGAAGATTAGCTTGTAAAATAATTAAATAGAAAAGTATATGATTTGTATTTATTCAACTCAATTTTGCATACATTTTCCATTAGCTGACAACCCACACTTTCAGCAGACACGATTTCGCTTTATTTGCTTTTTAAGAGAACAATAATGAAATTATTTTCATATCCTGGAAATAATCCAAACCAAAAGTCATGGTGAAACGTAAAAGCACATGAAATAATGTTTATATAATTTTTATAATTAGAGTAGAATGAAGCACTTGAAAATAATTGAATAAAATTATTCATAATCGCAGTAATTGCGATTCTTAGTTGAAAGTAGAAATATTAAAAAATGAATAATTGCGCAATGATTTACACAGAAACGCTTTTCCTAACTTAAACAACTTAATTATTTTATAAATTACCATAATTAGCAAAACTTCTTCTGGGTTTTATTGGTTATTTTGTGTTTTTTGTGTTTTTTTGTGTTGTTTATCTTTACTTAAGTTGTTTTAATTTTTTCCTTCTAATTAGTTTTAATTGCAGCATATTATATTACTAACCTGCATTTGCATTTTTTCCTGTTCCTCCTTTTTATGTTCCGGATCCATAAAATATAGTTCCTCGGTTGAACTTCGCAGTTCCAGTGCGCCCTCTTCACGAAATCCTAGGCTGATTGTTTCCTGTAGGGTGCCAGTGCCAACCTTGATTTGATTAGTTTTTCAATTCACAATCAATACAAAACAAACGACATCAATTTAGAAAAAAGGAAGGAAATAAAACATAAAATAATCAAACAAAACATCAAATTATAAGATTAAAATAAAAATAAAACAAATATTTCGATGCAAAATTACATAAAAATCAAAAAGGTTGAGAAGAAAAGAGGAGAACATCAAGAAGGATAATTTTATTATTTTCTTATTTAATTAGATAAAGTACTGCTTTATGCTTTAAATGCTTTTTTTTAAGTGCATTAACATAAATTTTTTATTTGATTGCAAAAATAATAACAGAATACATACAAACATACATACATACAAACGACTAAAAGCGTAAGTTGCATAAATAATAAAACTTAATGGATATTTTAAATTAAATTAGTACATGGCGTATGAGTAACCTATGAGTAGTTTTGCTCCCACATCATTTAATTCGTAGAATTTTAAACGCACAGCACGAGTATGTGAAATTATAATTTTAAATTAAAATGGCATTTAAATAATTTCTTATATTATTAATAATACATTTTATTATTGCCCTTGTCTGTCTCAGATTAATTTTAATTTTTAATTTACGCTTGTATAAAAGCAAGATTTTCAGAGTTGGATGATGTGATTGACAGAGTTAATCGCGTCAGGAATGTAAATTAAACAAACAAGGGTTAATTAAAATTTTAAATCACGAAAAGTAAGCACGAGCTCTGCATAAAAATGAAATATTATAAAGCTTCGAATGCTTTAAAGTCTTTAAAATGAACGCCAATTAAAATTAATTAAAGAAAATTCTCTAAATAAGTTAATATACATTTTTTAAACTTAGTTATTTTCTCTTAAATCAATACTTCAAAACCTTCGATTCAATATATGTACAATAAATTTTTTTATTGTAACTTAAGTTTCAATATACATACGGATGCTAACTGTAGATTTTGTGAAGAGAATGAGGAGTCGATCACACATGTGCTGTTAGAATGCCCTGCACTAATGCACATACGGAATAGACTCTTGGGAATGTATATTTTTACGGTAGAGGCAATCAAATTCTGCAAAGTGCGTTCTATACTATTTTTTTTTTTGACGCAACAGGGCTTAGAGATCTACTCGACGATCGCAGTTCCCCTAACAATAATAATAAGTTTCAATATTAATTAAAATGGGCTGTCTCATTCTAACAAATACATTTTTGCAACTACAAACAAATATACTGAAGGTTGCAAAAACAATCATTTAAAATATTTAAGTTTATTTATATAGCTGTGGTTTATGTGTTACTTTTCATTAATAACAAAGCAAGTACAATTGATATATCCAATTTTTATTTGAATTCCTGACAGTCCTAAGTTAAGTTTCCTAAAGGCAAAATTCCTTGTCGTTATCGCTTATTCTATATAATTTGTTTTGAAAAGAAAATGATTCATTTCATTCTAACAGAGACACCTATTTAGTTTGCTTTGTCCAAACAATGAACACATAAAAACTATAAATAGTACGTTATATACACATATAAAAAATACTTAAAAAGGAAATATTTTAAACTAACATTTAATAAAGAGGTTTATTCGAAAAGTAGTGAACTACATCAACAAAAATTCATTTTTATATTATTTCAATTAATTGAATTTTTAGCTGATCATCTAACATTTAATAAGTCAATGTAGTTTTTTATATATAATTATTCGACACCTTCGATGCCTTACATTATTAGATAAAAATTTGTGTATATAAAAAACCAGTAATTTTCCAAATTTGCCTACCAACTAATATATATATAACATTTATAAATGTTATATATTTTGCCTATTGCATTTAATATATAAATGTATAATAATATGTATAACATAATATTCTATACTTCTTTTAAAATTACTTCTATATTTTCCGACTTTTTTCTCTGGACCTATTTAAAGTCAAAAGTTTATATCAACAAGCTAAGAAAAACTTAGCTAAACGAACTTAGGACCACCATCCTCTAGGAAATGCCGCCATAGTGGCCAAAACATAGAAAAAATTACCGAAAATGCTAAATACACGGTCGCAGTACGGTATCCAAGGTAAAGGTATACACTTGAGAGATATAATCTTCAAAAAATGGTGTAATCAAATCTCCTTAAACCAAGTTAAGTAATTTTTAACTTAAACAGAAAAAATGTGTTTTTTATGTTTTTTTGTTAAATAAGTTAGTTCACCTAATATGGAAAACCGCTTAGTGTTGTTATTGGCTTTGAAATAAATTCAATGCTATAGTTAATATACGTTTTAAATGATTGATTAGTGAAAGAAAAGGTAAAAATATTCCATTACATTATTTTTATAATAATTTATGTTACTGTAGCAACAAATTCACATTTTTTTTTCTTGCATAGGTCACTAACCTCTATTCATCAAAAATTTTTTCACAACTTCTCTCATTATACACCGATAAAGCAATTTAGCAATTAAGTATTTTTTTTCATTGTGAGTAATCAGCCAATCTGAGTGTGCAAAGTCATCCTTTCAAGGCTTTCTTTAATCCGTTGTATTTCATTATAATTATTGTATTATACCTTCTGCACAAAAAGTTTCCGTATTTGGTTGTTTGTTAACTACTCCTTAAGTAATAGACCTTTTTCAAAAAAAAATTTTTTTTGTTATATTGGTACACCATCTGTTGAACGCTATCTGTCAATTAGTTTGTTTACAGCAGCTGTTAATGTAAGACTACCTCAAGTGCATTTGGCGATTTTTACTATGGAAAATTCTTGTTGTACGCGATTTTTTGACCAAACACGGCACCACTGTCATCGCTCAGGCACCATATTCGCCAGATCTGGATCCGTGCGACTTTTTCCTGTTCCCGAAACTCAAATCATGGTAAGCGTTTTGAGTCGATTGAATCGGTAAAAAAGAATTCGCTGAAGGAACTAAAAGCCATACCTCCACGGGCCTACCAAAAGTGTATGGAAGTTTGGGTTAAGCGTTGGCATATGTGTATCGCTTCAGAAGGAGCATATTTTGAAGGAGATAAAATAAATTTGAAACAAAATTTAAATTTGTGTGTTTTATTTACAAAATCCGAGTACTTTTTGAGCAGAAGGTATCTACCATATATTAAATTGATTTTTAACCTCCGTTTTGACGAATGAAACTAAATTCTTAATATAACTATTGTTTACAATAGAAAAGTTTTTTATCGAACAGCAATAAAATTGTAACAACATTGTACTTGTAAAATTGTATTTGGAGTGCAGGTACGAAGGATTAACCTCGTGCCCTGCCAAATTTTAAGCTCAGAGTCAGTGTTCATTAGCCAACTGACCCAAAGCTCTACTTGAGTTATAAGTTCTGATTTAGAGTTTCGTTGATTTGTTAATGTCATTATATCTGTAACATATTTTAATCAAGAACTTATGTAGCATGTATAAAATTTATCAAAATATGTATATTGGTTTATTATAAAATAATGTAATTTGTAAATTATAATATATTTATTTAAATTATTATCTTTTTATGTTTTCAATAGCTATCATTTGTATATTGGAAAAAAGTTTTATATTTTATATACTTTCAGTTATAATCATCTATTGAAGCACTTCTCAATCATTTTAATTAACTCTGTTGCATTTCACACATACTCGCATTTCAATTAATATCCACACAAATTGAATTATTGATTTATTTCCCTCGGTCCATATGCCATCAAGTACGAGTATAAAACAATTTCATAATACAGTTTTCATTATTCTAAAATTAAATAATTATCAACATTTCGCCCTTAATTTCGCACGTACTGCAATACTTCCTTCTGCTTCGCAGCGCCACTGAATGCCATGTGCAACATTTTTGATAAGGATTCAAAGCACAGTCTTGCGCCTACCAACTCATTTCGCCCAAGTGTGCAGTAATTAACGTTGCCCTTCGATTTGTTTGACTCGCTTCTGTTGGTTGCCCCTTAAAGATATTTTTCCATTGTGAAAAGTTGCAAAATTAAAAAAATTGTTGTTGTTGTTACACTGTTTGTTTTCTCGTTTATTATTCGCTCACTAGGTCTTTTTTTTACTGGTTGCTATAGCTCTATACTTGATGCCTAGTGGGTTAGTGGGTGCTATAGTATATAAGCAATAAATCATACACAGTTAAGGTTAAATTGGGTCATATTAAATTATTGTTATTGGAAAATTAATTATAGTAAATAAATTAGAAGTTTTTTAGTAGAAGGTATAAGGTTAACCTATATTTAAACCTAAAACAATATTCAATTTACCAAATGACAAGGTCTGAATATATTAAAAATAAATGGCAAAATTTCTGTGTCTGTGTAGACTATGTCGTGAGAAATATGGAATTATAGACTTTAGAATTTTATTAAAAAATTTATTAATAGAACATTTTGTGGAAATTATGTAATTAAATATTAATGTCGACAGGAAGAAACTTTTAAGAAAGTAAAAGCTTGTGATGGTTTAGAAAAAAAGTGTCAGTAACACATTTAGTACTTAATTATTCTCAAAACAGTGTTAGAGAAACTTATAGTATTTAATAGTTAGCCATTTATTTTTAGTTATTAACATAAATAGTTTACAAAGTTAGACTTAGCTTTAGCAAAATTTAAACAGCTTTTATTTGAAGTTAATAAGAATTAGCTAAAAGTAATATTTTGGACAATATTGATAAACTAATAAATAAAGAAGTAATTAAAAATGAATAGACCATCAAAAGGAGATATTATATATGATGTTTATCCATTATGATCACTTATGAACACCTTGTAAGAATTTCTTAATATTCTTTTTAAAATAAAGAATTTCTTAAAAGTAATATAGTCCAGTACCTGTACTATTTTACTCTTGCAGCAAATCAATATTCAGTGAGTAAACAAAACAAAACCGTAATATGAATTCCGAATGGAGACGACGTCTGCATTTTGGGCTATCTGCTATATAATATTCATCGATTCCAATAAACACTGAGAAATCAACAAAAGCGAATATTAATCAGATATTCTATAAACATCATTAATGGACTAACAATAATATGTTAACAAAAATAATTAGTGCTTGAAAATGATTGATTATTATCCTGATCGAGCAGCTCTCATATACTGAAATTCGAATACTTGAATCTTACGTTTTATATGTTCGGAAATGTTAAAACATTTAGAAACTCTGACATACATCAATATCTTGTATTAAAATCATCATTAAGTAAATAAAGGTTAGGCTATTTTACCCATTAAGATGGTCATCCCAACAATTTCTTGGTTCCTTTATACACATCCATTACACATAGAATGAATATTGGTGTACAGAAAGTTGTCAATTTTAGAATAATATTTTATTTAATTTTTTCTAATATAGTTTCAACTCCAAGCATATATACCTGAATGTATATGGGCAACTACTAAAAGTTGAATTGACCATATTATTAAGTATGGTTTTTCTTGAAAATGCAGAGTTTTGTGTACTTAGATTTGCTTACAGTAATACTCAGAATGGTTACCGGCTCCTTGGGGAAGTATGCAGATCTGAGGTCAATTATTGCCTAATCTGATGAAGTGATAAACAATAATTCAGTCAAGGCGTAATGATCAAGATGATCAAGATGATCAAGGATTTTAAAAATACCTCGAGTTAAGAAAGAGTAAAAGTGCTTAAGTGCACTGGCTCAAATAGCTTCAACATAATTAATTAATATTCTATATTATCTGTTCTGATACTAAATACGAAATATGAATGCACACCTAAGACTACTTTTATTGGTAACCTTAAGTCTGTAGTGAAATTGGAACTGCATGGTTTTATAGACTCCTTACATAAACAACTTTAAGTTTGTAGCGTGGAGTGGGTCTGAGATCGGAGTGGACACTGTATAAAAAAAGTTTAAAGTCCAATTTAAAGCATAATTGCTTTTATACTTCTTAAGATTATAGTGTACAAAAAAAATATATCTTCCTTCAAACAATTTTACATTATATCATTGAAAAGCTGAATAATTTTCACATTCATTAAAAGTATAAATCAGTTGAAAGTCATATATATTCTATATATTTAACATATACTTATATTCTTTTCAAGTATATATGGTAAATGAATAATGATAAATGTGAGGTCTTCAAATCGTTGTTTAAAATTTAAAAAATGTTTGAATTATTTTTAGTTTCTCATTGAGAACTTATTTTTACTCATGTTTTTTCAATAAATAATATAAGACATAGTACAAAAGTAATCTAAATACTATACAAAACTATTTCAATCAAATAAAAATGCAAATGGACGAGCGGAAATTAAAATGTAGAAGCCATAAGCAAAGGATTAAAAAACATGAAAATTAAAAAGGATAAAAATGGAAATCCATTGAAATGTAACATTGAGCAAAAACATATAAAAAAAATCCTTGACACCTATCAACCATTTTTACTAATACTTTCAATCAAATACACACATACTTTCTTATATAATATATATAAAAAAATAAAACATTTAAAACAGAGAATGCAAAAATTACGAATAACAATTATAGAAAGTGAATATCTATCGTTCCGTACCTGTTCAAAAACATTCTCGGGGCTGCTTTCACGACTATCCTCCTCATGGTGCGATGAAGAGGAGGCACGACTTAATTCTATTCTCGGGGTTGACGGTGTCGTCAGTGTTGTGGCGCCTCTATATATAGTCTGTTGCTCTCCGCTACTAACCAATGTGGTTGTACCGATCATGGTTGTTGCTTTGAGTGGAGGCGGACGCTTGAAAGTAGTATCATTTTTTGATTTGATGCTTCCGCTGCTAGCCGAGATTGATATGCTGGACTGTGGTTCCTGTTGTTGCTGCTGTTTTCGAGGCTGATGTCCTTTCTCTGTACTCGTATTCGTTGTTGTTACTGTTTTAATATTATTCTTGCTCTCGTGTGACTCCATCTGCAAAAATTTGAATAAAACTTTATAGCGCTTTTGTTTAAAAATGTAATATATTTTTTGTAATCTCTAAAAAGTGAAACAAAAGTAAAAATATGAAAAACAAGAGTTTGTATATTTATTAATGTATGTATGAATACATACCAGAATGAATATAAAATTCCCAAAAATGTAAATTCATGATACGAACCAAAAAAAAGAAAAAAATGCTTGCTTTCATTTTTTGCATTTGTTTGTTAAAAAATTATTATCCCAAGTGACTTGACATGTCGCAATTTTGCCTAATTAAATATTAATGAGTTCGTCCTTTGCAGAAACAGCAAAGAGAAAAGAAAGTTACGCATATCCCATGTGAAAGCAATTTTTTGTCCTTAAAATGATATCTTTCTTTTCGGCAATTTAAGCACATTTGTTTTCATTTTATTACTTAAACATTTTTTTAAATGTTACCAATTGTGCTTTTTTTGGTTTCGTTTTGTTTTCCGTACATTAAAAGGACACAAAAGGAACGTAAAGCTTAGGCCATTTTTATAATATTTTTATAATACTTGAAAGTATTTTTTTGAACGAAGATAAAAACACAATCAGATTATTTTATTTAAGATATCTTGAAACCAAAAACATTTGTCCATTACAGCTATGTAAGGATAATTCAATTTTTTTCTGGACATAATTTAGTTTCCAACAAATATTATTTCAGATCTAATAAAACACATTCGAATTTATTTGTCTTTTACATTTTATGTATTTAGTTTTTATTCTTTTCTTTCTAGTGTTTATTGTTAGTTTTAATATAACGTAAAATATTAATAATCATTTACTTATTATTCTTATATGTTTATTTATCTATTATTTTAATAAAAGAACTGAACAACCTACTTTCAACTTAAAGTGAGACTTTTATCAATAAGTTGTCGAAATCTATTCAAGACAAAGATTCTGAAGTATTTATTGTGGATGATTTTTGAGAAGCTGCTGTGGAAGTATTGTAGAAATATTTGTATAGGAATATGAAATATTTGCTTTATCTCAAAGATGACATAAAAAGAAATACAAAAACAAAACGATGAAAAAAGTAACTTCAGCTCTTTCTGCTTTCTTCATCTTTGAAAACGTGAAAACATTTTTTTTTGTTATTTACAAAAGCAAACACTTCTAAATATCTAATTCTATAAAATATCTATAAAGAGGTTTTTTTGAACAGTAGTAAACTACAACAACAAAAATTTTATTTTTTATATTATTTTAATTAATTAAATTTTTGACTGACCATACAGCTGTTTCGAATATTGCCAAATACCCATCATCAGTGGTCTTGGAATTAATTCTTGTATATAATTATTCGTAAATAATTATTATTTGAGACTGCAAGTACCAGGATTCGAACTCGGGTCCTGCCAAATTTGAAGTTCACAGTCAGCGCACCTTAACTAACTGAACCAAAGCCGTACTTGACTTTTTTATGTTCACATATTTTTCTGGAGTTTATGTTACTTTTGCTATGAAAGTTTTTTCATAGCTGTAGAAAAAATGAATTAATTATATTTTTATTTTTAATTGTTTAATTTCAATACTATTCTGTTTGTAGAGGCATTATTTGTTGCATGATTTGTTCTTTCTTATGTATAGAACCTAATCTAGGAACGTAATGCTGAGAAAGTCATGCTAATGTTACTCCACTAGTCGCACGGGCGAGACCAATATTTTGTGAATATAAGTTGTAATTTAACGTCAAATTTCCCAGAAATTTTCCAGAAATATCTATATAATATTTAATTCCATATAATATTTTGCAATGTCTTCTTGAAAGGTAACTGTCAAAGCAAGACACAGATAGTGTTTACAGGTAAACATTATTTAATTATTTCCTTTAATATTTAAGGGATAATATATCTATGCCACGTTTTTCATATAATCCGATGTACATTAATTTCCCTAAAGAATATTCCCCAGTCAAAAATAGAACAGGTATGCACATCATCAATGAGCATCTGACCAATGTTGTATCAAATCTCATATGTAAATTTTGGAATAAAGAAACTGAGTCCTATGAACATATACTAAGAAGATATGATGTACTTAAAAACACCTGGAATCACATTTTGTATCAGGTAAAGTATTAACAAATAATTTAAAACAATCGATGATAATGAATTCTTAAAGGTAATTGAATAAGCAAATTACCTGAGATCACATTTAATACCAGCTAAAGTATTAGTAAATCATTAAATTCAGTCGATATTAATGAATTCTTGAAGACAACAGAATAAGAATATATACCATATTATAAAGAATATACTTTTAAACAGAAAAGTATTGAAATTTAACAATTAAAAATAAAAAATATTGTTAATTAATTTAATTATTCTGCAGCTGGTTTATGATTTTGTTCTAATATGAACACAGCAAGTGAATTTGTTAATAAAAACTTTCACAAAAAAATAACAAAACTCCAAAAAAATGTGCGAACATAAAAGTCAAGTCAAGGCTTTCGGTCAGCGCACCTTAATGCACTGACTCTGAGCTTTAAATTTGGCAGGACACGAGTTCAATTCCTGGTACTTGCAGTCTCAAAAAATTATTTACTAATAATTAAATATAAGTACTATTTCCAAGACTACTGATGATGGGTATTTGGTAATACTCGAAATAGCTGTATGGTCAGCCAAAAATTCAATTAATTAAAATAATATAAAAATGATTTTTGTTGTTTTAATTCACTACTATTCGAAAACCTCTTTTAGAAAATATTTCATAGATTTACACTATATTAGTAAATCCAGAAAAGTAAATCTATTAGATAATAGTACATAAGATCTTCCGTTCACAGTACTTTATTTGACTCATACTTGTAAACTTTAATTCCTTAATAGTAAAATTTTAATTTAGTAAAATATAAAAAGTATTTCTTAATTGTAAGATTATTAATTTGTAAGTATCCACCGAATGAACCATTACTGATAATTTTGTTCTATTAATAATTAAGCACATCACGCTATAGAAGAAAATAAAAAGATCGATTAATAATAATCTTAATAGTTTGATTTGTTTAGATTGGGTAAAAAGAATTCAAAATTAAGTTATGTAGAAGTCATGTATTATTTTAATCGTTTACTTATTTCACATCACTGGAACTATAGTTGAGGAACTGATTTCAAGTACAATTGATGCATTTTACTCAATGCAATCAACGACTTATGACGGGAAACAGACTCTTGAAGAAAAAGCTCTTTTTTATCTGCCAAGCACATCAATAATGCAACATAATAATTGTTCTTTAAACTTTTTCATTTCATAAAGTTGTCTATGAAAATTATACCATGCAATCAATGTATATCAATATGTACCAATGTATCATAATCAAACAATGGGTCATAACCTTCCGACCGAAATGATTAATTTTCGACGAAGTTTTCCGACTTTTCTATTTGATTATCATGTAAGTTCCGATGTGTTATAGTAAATCCAGGTAGTCTCTTTTGTTATATATTAATGTTTAAATTTTGTTTATTCTCTAATCAGCTTTAGATAATACTCGGAGTCATCAAAATCTTATTGTTGTCGCTAGATTGTTTACTCTAGAACATACATTTCACATAGACATATATCTATCCGATATAAGATATTGTTTAATTGTTTAATAATTTAAAATTATTTTCTAAAGTTTTTTGATGTTAAACAAACAGTATTTAATCAACATATAAATTTAGTTTATTTCCATTATATTAAAAACATATAAAATGTTGTATCAATTAAGTGGTTAAAATTCAAGTAAATATGTTTATGAAAAATAATAGTTTTTTTATTTAAAATAAAAAAATCTAACCTTTAAAAATATTATGACCAAAAAATTAATTTTCAAATAGAAAAACATAATAGTTAGTTTTTTATATATTTCACATCCTATATAATCACTTGTAAACCGAATTAAAATGCAGGAATAAAGAGAACAAGCTGATGATTTATCGAAGGCCGAAAAAATTATCAGATCTGATGCCTCGATAATTCGTTAACTTGGAAACATTGTTAAGTTGTAATTTTACAAAAACAAATACACATAAAACTTTAACATTTCCCAATTTACCAGGCACTTGTGCCTACCCGAATTGTTATTATTGTAAGCGTAGTAAAATAAAATCTCAAAATAAACTCTATAGATTCTATATTAGGTAGTCCAATATTAACGAGCAAAGTAATGGAAATAAATACAGAAATCATTGAACAATTATTAGTGTTAAAATTTTATTAGTAAGCTAAACAATAATATTGTTCAACAATATAAATTTTAGTATATACATTGTGACCGAAAAGCTTTCGGAAATTCTCATTTAAAATTCGCGCGCTGTATATTTTTCGATATTTTAAGTTTATGTAGTTTGGCAGCACTGTCCTTAATTACTATGCCAAAAATGAGCGCGATCTGTCAGACAGTTCGTTTACGGCAGCTGTTGAAACCAGTTCACCTCAGTAGGGCGTTGCGAAAAAAACAATGGAAAAAAATATTGAACAAAGAGTTTGCATCAAATTTTGTGTTTCGAACGAAATTTCGTGTGCAGAATCGTTGCGAATGCTACAAAAGGCTTATGGGGAATCAGTTTTATCGAAAACTCAAGTTTATGAGTGGTACAAGGCCTTTCAGGACGGTCGTACGACGGTCGAAGACATTTCGCAACGCACTACTGAGGTGAACTGGTTTCAACAGCTGCCGTAAACGAACTGTCTGACAGATCGCGCTCATTTTTGGCATAGAAATTAAGGACAGTGCTGCCAAACTACATAAACTTAAAATATCGAAAAATATACAGCGCGCGAATTTTAAATGAGAATTTCCGAAAACTTTTCAGTCTTAATGTAAGTGTAAAGTTTTACAGCTTTACAACTTTTTTTGGTATACATAATACAACTATTTAAAATAATGTTAAAACTTTTTAGCTTTAATTCATAAGAAAATATTACACATAAATAAGTAAATACCTTTTCAATACATTTTTAATAACTTTAGG